AAAAGCCCCGATCGCCTTTTTCGCAATCGGGGCTTTTTTGCGGAAAACAGTACTATGCTCTCTACACTGACCCTTTTGCGCAAAAGTCTTTCGGAAAAAGACTTTTGCCCGAACGGGAGCAGCATAGTTTTTCTGGAAAAGCACTGATGATTTTACATTAGATCGTCGGTGCTTTTCCGGAAATTCAAGCAGCCAGTGTAGACAGCTGGCAAGTTTTTCCGCAAAATCATCTGATTTTGCAGAAAAACTTGCCAGTCTAGACACAGCCCTTGTGAAATGAGGAAGTCGGAGTAAGAAGCCTGTTATTTCAAAATTATTTTGACAAGCTTCAATTATTTTGAAATAAGTATGCAGTGTAAACATAGCCTCAGAGACTAACAAATATATATATAGGACAAGGTTTGCAGAGATATAAAGAATAGAATTGACACCTGGCTGCAAGAAAGACAATTTGTGACTGCTTGCAATGAGGAACGTGGTAAGGGCCAGAGTTCAGGTGAAAGCTTCAGGGAAGAGGATTGCTGGTGAGAATTTACTTCCGGTGCTGGTCCCCAGACATGGGCCAGTGAACATTAGGAGCTGTAATGAATGATGCCAGAGGCATTCCCTCTCATCTCAGGCACTGAACCTTGTCAAGTCATGCTTCCAAGTCGGGACTCATGGAAAATGTTTCCTTTTATTTTTCAAATACATAAACTCTTCACTATTAAAATCTCTGAAACTCAAAGCATGAAGAAGCAGCAGCTCTCAAGCATATACACAGCCAACTTGTGAGCACACTATGAATGTACGATCAAGCAATGGTTTCCAGTTGCCAATTTCCTCTGTCTCTGTGTGCAGCCATGGGCGGACAGGCCATTGTTCCAGAGGTGGATCCACTGGGCAAAATGTTGGCTCCTGGAACAAACTGCCTATTTCACATATTTGCTCCTGTGTGTAAATTTGCTTTCATGCTGCAAAAATATTGCCTGTGTCCCGGAAATTCCATGTCTCTCCATTTTAACAAGATGTGTGTTGGCCAACCAGTTCTTTATATATTTAAAGCAGCCCCTTGTTCAGTCCCACACCCAACAGTGAAACAATACTGCAGTTCAAACACATGGATACAGTCATGTGACTTGTTTAAAGTACAAAAATAACTGTAAGGCCTCTACAGAAAGAAGCATCACATAGGCAACAGAGAGACAAACCAGTCAGAATACCCTCCAGTACCTATTGACAATAGGCATTTACACAGTTAATACCAAATTTTCAAGGATTGGGGCAAAGTTAGATCTTTAAGGTTGGAGGGAGTTGAGTCCTTTGTTTTCTTGGCTGGAGATCTATCCCATTCCATGTAACAAAGACAAGCAAAACAGGAGTGTGGGATATACATGGGCAAGCCAACTCCCAGTAACGAACTATGCTCCATCCTCTCCATACATTGCAAAAGTCAAGTGATGCCACCAGCTGACATGACACAGATTGAATTTAGGTGCGGTGCTCCTTCCTAGCAAGGCTGGTTTGTGAGTCCCAGTGTCAGAATTACATATTTTTAAGGAGGCAGTTAGCTGGTTAACTGAGTTGAGCATCCGAATGGAGTGTGCAGGCTTACAAAGAGGGAACTCTGTATTTCCAGCCTAAATTCTCAAAGGCCCTTAAGTGGCTAAGGCTGGATTTAGGTGCCTCTATTCCATTCTCAGGCTTCACTGCAATTTGCAAAACTCCCGCTGAACTCCATGGATGCCCAAATTCACTTGGCACCTGAGTTTTGCAGTGAAAAGTTCCATTGGTGCCTGTGTTTGTGCCTCAGAGTATTCTGCATTGCTACCTCCTTCTAGGTGCTCAGGTGCCTACCTACTGCCTAATCCTCAGACATTACTTAAACGTGGGACCCGATCCGATCAACATCAAACACTTAAGTACAGGCAGTCCCTGGGTTACATGGATCCAACTTACATCGGATCCCTACTTACAAATGGGGTGAGACAACCCCGCACTAGCTGCTTCCCCCCAGTAGACCAGGGAGACGCGAAGCTAGCGCCCTCCCCCCCGCCCAGCAGCCCAGGGAGATGAGGAGCGGCTTTTCTCAGCAGACACCTCAGCTTGAAAATAAAGGACTGAGGGAAGTGAGGTGTGGGAGAATAAAACTGAGCTCTGGAGAAATGTTTGGCTAGAGTTTCCCCTACAATATGTACCAGTTCCGACTTACATACAAATTCAACTTAAGAACAAACCTACAGTCCCTATCTTGTACGTAACCCGGGGACTGCCTGTATCTTTGCGAATCTATACCTCCCTTCCTTCTGCAAGAAACAGCAAGAAAACATGAGAGAGAGTGTGCTTGTGTAAGAGACAATGATACACGCATATCTGACAATCTTTTACCCTTTGTAAACCTAAAGACCATGAATCTTAACCATTTAATTAGCAGGCAACCTGAAAAAAAATGTGAATGTGGTAGCAAAAAGGCTCTTTTGTCAGCATGATTTTTGAAATTCCCCTTGCGAGTCAGGTTTGCACAGGTAGGCAGCCAGTTAGCTACCACTCCATACATTTAAGTACCTGTAAAAACAATTGGGCAAATGAGAGCCACAGTGGCTTTTGCCTCTCAAGCAAAACTATCTTTGGGAAAATGAGAAGAATATTTTATATGCTCTGGATTAAAGGACCCATTGGGGTACCTCTAATGAAGAAAGCACATGCACTGCCTTAGTCACCCTCAATACCACCTGAAAGCCATCCTCACCAGAGTGCATTACTCCTTCCTGCCCATTTTAAAATGTTCTACGGGGCAGCTGCCATGCATATCAGGACGCAGCTTGCTCTTCTTCCCATTCCATGGACAATCAGGGTATGTCTAGACTACATGGCTCCGTCGACGGAGCCATGTAGATGAGTTTACTAGACATAGGAAAATGAAGCGGCGATTTAAATAATCGCCGCTTCATTTACATCAAAATGGCCGCCACGCTGTGCCGATCAGCTGTTTGGCAGCACAGCGCGGTAGTCTGGACACGCCGCGGTCGACAAGGGAAGCCCTTGTCGACCGCTCCGTTATACCTCGTGAAATGGCACAGCGCAGCCATTTCAAAACAGCATTTCCGTTATGCCTCGTGAAAGCAGCACTGCGCGTCCATGCTACCGCGCTGTGCTACCAAACAGCTGATCGGCACAGCGCGGCAGCCATTTTGATGTAAATGAAGCGGCGATTATTTAAATATTTCCTATGCCATCTACATGGCTCCGTCAGGGAGCAAGGGGAAAGTACTTGGATTCTGTGCCTGCCTCTCACTTCTGGCTGGTGAAGGGAGGAGGCAGAGGAGTAATTCACAGAATCCAAGTACTTTCCCCTCGCTCCCTGATTGTCCAGGGAGGAGAAGAAAAGCAAGCTGCTGCCCCTCTGCTCTCCTGAAATGGCGCCCTCAATCTCTGGGCAGGTGGCCTGTAGTGGGTTGCCAGTCTGTCTGCGGCACTGGATTGGTGGGGAAGGTAATAGGCGGATTCTTGCACCCAGTAGCAGCAGGCTGCTCAAAACATTTGCCTTCCATAGCTCTGTTTCCTGTCCTGCTCCTGACTTGGCCCCGGCCTTATCTCACTCCAGGGAACCCGGTTCTGATCCCAAGCTGCTGAAAGCTCACTAATCCTGAGTGAGCCTGAGTATCCAGCCTGCTTGCTGGCGAGGTCCTGGCTCGGCGCTTCCATTCCTGGAGCCCCCC